AGCTGACACTGCTACAGTCCGACTGCAAGTTGTGGCAGCTCCCCCAGGCATTAAGGAGGAGAAACGTCAGCACTTAAAAGCCAGTGTAAGCCAAAGCTTGTGGATTCCCTGTACTGGCCAAGGAAGCCAAATCCCACTATGCACTGGGTCCTCAATGATGGGTCAATGGTACGATCTAACAGACCTGCAAGAAACCCAAGGATATATGTTTATGTCAATGGAACCCTCCAAATTAAGGCCATAACTCCAGCAGACAATGGGAAATATGAATGTATTGCTACCAGTTCAACTGGCTCAGAGAGAAGGGTAGTGACACTGATTGTTGAAAAACAAGAGTCTGCCCCTTATATAGTGAAGACATCACAGCGCATGACAGAGCTGTTCTTTGGGGACCAGCTGATACTTAACTGTTCGGCTACAGGAGATCCAAAGCCCAGGATCATGTGGAGACTGCCATCTAAAGCTGTGGTTGATCAGTGGCACAGGTAAAAATGCCTTGATCAGTCGTAGTAATACACAAAAATAATATTGTACTATTTACAATTAGCTTATGAGTAAAGGCCAAAATACAATCTTGGAAAACTTTTTTTTAACAGTTTTTAGTTATGCAGAATTTACAAATGATGAATCTACAAGTGTTTAAATAAACTTAGTTCTTCACCGTCTTTCCCCATGCCTTTTAATACACTTAGCCCTGAAGCCTAAGGATATCTAAAAAGCACTCAATTCGGAAACTTGACAATGCCCGAGGTTCATGGCAAAGCTTAAGAAATGTGACCATCTGTAAATGACCATCTGTACATGCAGCATTACAAAGAAAAGGGGTGAACAAAAAATGGATTAATTAAATCAGCTATCCCTGATGTAAACTTGTAAAAGGTGCTTACTTTGCTAACTGTCAATATTTTTCTTGTATAGGATGGGCAACAGAATTCAGGTCCTGGATAATGGTACACTTATTGTGAACACTGTCAGCAATAAAGATGCAGGAGACTATCTCTGTGTGGCACGAAGCAAAATGGGAGATGCCCTTCAACTCATGATGGTCCATGTGACCATGAAGCCAGCCAAGATAGAACCTAAGCTCAATGGAAAGAAGCAGGTAACCTATGGTTATGACCTGAAGGTTGACTGTAAAGCCTCAGGAGCCCCAAAGCCAGAGATTTCCTGGGGTTTACCAGATGGTACAGTGGTCAATAGTGCTCTTCAGTCTGATGCCAGCAGTGGAGGGGGACGAGCACGCCGCTACACACTTTTTGACAATGGAACCCTTTACGTAAACCAGGTATGTAATTGCACGCTACTTCCTTTGTGTAACATAAAACCTTTTAAAAGCTGTACACCATTTTGTCATACTTTAACAGGTTGGTATGTCAGAGGAGGGGGACTACACCTGCTATGCTGAAAACCAGGGAGGCAAGGATGAAATGCATGTGCATATCAGTGTGATGACTGCTCCCCCCAGAATTCATCCATCCAGCCAGACCTATGCAAGAGTCAAGCCTGGAGGGAACATCCGCTTTGACTGTGAAGCACTTGGGGAACCAAGACCCAAGATCCTGTGGATGCTGCCAAACAACGATGTGATTGGAGCATCTAATGATCGCTACCTCATGCATGTCAATGGCTCTCTGGATATAAGGGCTGTGAAGCTTATCGATGCTGGGGAGTATGTTTGTATAGCTCGCAACCTTGCTGGAGACAAAAGAAAAGTCTACAAGCTTGATTTAGATGGGAATCCGCCAATGATTAATGGCTACAGGCAAAATAGGACCGTGATCAAAGATGTTGCAGCTAAATTCTCCAGGAAATTAATAGACTGTAAGGCTGAGGGTAATCCCACTCCTAGTATCACATGGATTATGCCAGATAACATCTTTCTGAAAGCACCGTACTTCGGCAGTAGAATTAATGTTCACCAAAATGGGACTTTAGAGATTCGCAACGTGCGCCCAACTGATACAGCAGAGTTCATTTGCATGGCAAGGAATGATGGAGGAGAGGCAGTAATGGTGGTGCAGCTGGAGGTTACTAGTATGCTACGAAGGCCGATCTTCAAAAACCCATTCAACGAGCGCATTGTGTCTCGGTTTGGGAAAACCATAGTTCTGAACTGCTCTGCTGATGGACAACCGACACCAGAGATAATATGGACTTTCCCTAATGGCACGCGAGTTACTAGTGAACATCACCATGACTCTCAACACCGCCTAGGCAATAATGGAACTTTAGTCATCTATAACCCTCGCAAAGAGGATGCTGGGAAGTACCGCTGTGGTGCCAAGAATTTCATGGGATACATAGAGAAACTAATAATTTTGGATGTTGGCCAGAAGCCTTACATCTTGACAAGGCCTCGAGGCATCATACGCAGTATGTCTGGAGAACCACTCTTCCTTCACTGTCTATCTGATGGGAATCCTAAACCCGGAATCTACTGGACAATTCCTGGTGGCCACACTCTTACTCGGCCCCAAGTCTTTGGGCGCTACCAGTTACTTGAGAATGGTACCTTGGTTGTTCAGGATACTACTCTCCATGACCGAGGAAATTACATCTGTAGAGCTCAGAATGATGCTGGGGAGGCAGTGCTCTCTGTCCCAGTTATTATCATTGCCTACCCTCCACGGATCTCTACAGCTCCACCCCCCAATGTGAAGGCAGTTACTGGGACATCTATCCAGCTTAACTGTGCTGCCATTGGGATCCCCAAGCCAGAGATCACCTGGGAGCTCCCTGATAATTCAGTTCTGTCTGCAGCAGGACAGGGCAGGCATTTGGGTAGTGAACTGCTCCATCCTCAGGGCACACTTATCATTCAGAGACCTACAGCCTCAGACTCAGGCACATACAAGTGCCTTGCGAAGAACAGCGTGGGCACAGACTTCAAAGTTACATATGTACATGTACTGTGAAAAGACTATATGCAAGGAGGACAGAGATATAAGCAAATGTACATGTAACATTAACAAACTGTCACTTGTGTTTGTGAGATACTTGTTTTCAACCATGTGGATTTTCAAGGAACACTGGGAGGGATTTTTTTTGTGACAATTGTGGATTTAAAAAATAAACAGCACAAGGACAGACATGAAACAGAAATTCTAAATGTGATAAATGTTTATCTTAAAATCGGAAGAACCCCAACCTGAAAACAGAAAGTTATAATTTCAACTTTGCTCCACTGGCCTGGAAATTCAAAGGTGGTTCTAATGTGGGTTGTGTCTCAATGGAGCAAGACAGTCAGTGCAAAGAGTAAAACAAAAGGTGATTTCTCTGACCAGACATTGCTGGCTATATTTAGGGATACTATTACTACATGTAATGAAACTTCACAGAGAAAGACTGTGAGACAGGGAGAAAGACTGTGCAACAGATTGATTGAAAGAAATTAGGCTCCCAAAAGGGTTTTAAATGGCTTCACATATTGGCTGAAGTTGTAGTCAAAATGTGTTGCTTTGTTCTTTTACAGCTAAAGAAAAGAAAGCATGCAAACTTAGAGTAATAATGTTTGAGAGCAATTCATAAAATTTCATGATAACAGAAAATAGGTTTATTTAAAAAATATATTTCTTATACACTGGATACATCTGCATTGGCAGTTCCTTTCCTTTCATATCACAAGTACATCAGATTATTTTTACTTTTGATGACAGTGTGAAGCAGAATCATTTATTTCCATCCGCTATCCATTTATAAAACAAAATAAGGCACTATCAGTCCATTGTGTTGTACACAAGAATTAACAGTAATGTTATACATTAATCCAATCTGTTGTAATACAGTATTTGTATATCTATTTGTTGTATCTACTCTATTGAAGTATGGGACAATAAATGAAAAAAGCAAAGATAGTTTAAATCTTTTTTTTATTTTTCTATGTTGTCCTTAATACACAAAAACCTCATATGAGACATGTATTTGAAATAAAGCATATTACTGTTCAGAGAACACTTTACAAGTCGGCTATTATAATGCTGTTGTGTTAAAGGTCATAAGGATTACTCTGTTGGACTCCAGACTGCAGGAGGGGTTATGACTGGAGCTTCAGTAGAAACCATTCAGACATACAAAACTCTCCAGCTGTAAAAATAGTTCTTTACCCAACTCGTCAATGAGCACGGCCCACAGGGAGCCTTAGATTTTTGTTTGAGGTTTTGTGCTGATTTTACTGCCTTTCTGCAAATTGAATTGAGAGATGAGGCATTTTGAGACAGAAAAGTGCTACAGACCAAGCTGTCGTTAAAACATAAACCTGTATGTAAGTCAGCTGATGTCATTTTCCTGTTTCTGAAGAAACATTACCAGAATAGTTTAAAAATATTTACATGTAACATAAAAAAAAATTAACTGGTCAAATGTGAATTCATGTGAATAAGAGTGAGATTTTCATCTACACTGATAGTTTGTTCTCAAACTACATGTCCTTGGCCATTAATATTCTTTTTTTTCTGATCCTCCAGTGATTGTAATTTGTAAGGTTATAGAAAACAAACCATATGACGTATTTTTGTGGTCAACCTGGAAGTAGCATCGCCATGGGGTCTAACAAGAATTCGCCTATGGGATTTTTGTATTGGATTTTGGATCATTGCAGAAAATAAGCTCTGTGGCAAACGCACATTTCTGAAGTGTAGGCGTTTTGTTCAGCAGGATAATCTTCACAGATGAACACCATTTTTATGATGTTTGACGCATTAATGCGGCTGACAGAAGTAAAAAGCTAACGTTATGCTACAAGCGAACTATACCACGGTCGGATGATTGTGACGTCACTAGCATTATGCTTCAGACGATCTCCGATAAACTAATCCGCGTAGCTTAATAAATTGTTTACTAACCTAATAATTGCCTTAACCTAAAGATTAAACCTACATGAGACATCTTCGAGTAGTGAGAGAGTTCCCGGCCTCTGTGTCCGGCGTGATGATGTTTAATGTCCCTGACAACCACTGTAGTCACATTTAGTCACTTGTTATCAACCGCCTTTTTAAAGACGCGTTAAAACTTCAAAATTCACAAGTGTGGGTATTACCTAGTTTATGTGGTCTAACAAAATGCCAACATCTCTTAAGCTTGTGTTAACCACAGACCTTATTTCAGGCGTCTAACCACAAACCCATTCAAAATCCCCATTGACTTTTAGACCCCATGGTGCTCAAATGCTAACTGACATCTGTGTTTTAGGACTCATTGCTGTGGCGCTCTATACATTGAGATAAATAGCTTGAGAATAAAGGGCAACATCTGGAAACAATTAGTTAACTGCCCAAATTGTGAACTCCCTATAATGTACAGCCTTTCAAAGAGGCATGTGCCAATTTGGAATGTCCTCATTAGTAATGCTGTGACTTGAAGTTAAGTCTATTTTTTTTCTCTAAGCTGGAAATAAAGGAAAAGTGCAGTCTATGATGCAGTAATAGTAAGGCCAGCTTTAAACATGACAGAATGGTGATACTTAAATTACTCAGACTCCCAGTACAAAACAGCTGCTTGTAACAGATCTTCAAAATCTAGGTCAGTTGTTTGTCCTCAAATGGTTAAGTATTAAAACATATTTTTTTACATCTAAGAGAAAAATAAAATTTCCAAAGTCAGGAGCCGGTCTACAGCAGTGTGATATAATCCAGGCAGATATTGGGAAAGAGGGAATTGGCTTGAATAAACTTTGGAACTCTGGCTCTGTGATTATAGAGACTGCTTGCATATGTGTGCTAGGCAACACTCCAAACAAAAAAAAATGTTCTTAAAACCGAAATATAAATATGAACAGTTCATCTGTGTGATGGACAGTTCACCATTTATGCTATGTGCCATCTGTGAATGGTGAAGAGTTTATTTGTCCTGTTGTGGTTTTGTGGTTCAAATTTTGAGAAAGAACATTTGTGACAATTTTAAACATGTAATTTTCCCATTCCCTCTTGTTCTCATGGGTGTTTAAATGAAAACAGTTGAAGTCTGACATGTACCATTTAAGAAATATGGTTTTATGAGGAGCTTCTGAAAGGAGCAGTGTGTGTTTCTTTGTGTCTGTGTGCATTTAAACTTCACTATAGGTCAAATATACTGTTCCTCTCAACCCAATTTCTGTTCACAGCTGGTGAAGTGAGACATGTTAACATGAAGAGTTACACTACCACCACCATTTAACAAGATGAACAAACAAAATCTGTTTTTACAAAAAAATGAGGTTGGTAAGTTTAACCATTCATTCTCCGCCTCCAAGATTTTGGAAAAACAGACCAAATCTAGACAGAATCACATGCCTTCTTGCTGTTAGTGTAGTCCTCTTTACCCTACAGTTCAGATTATTCAAGGGACAAGAGTACACAAGCAATATTTTCTGAAAGCAGACTATAGCCTCTAGAGCAGGGGTGTCCAAAGTGCGGCCCGAGGGCCATTTGCGGCCCTTGAGGGGATTTTTGGCGGCCCGTGACTTCATATGAAGAATCAGAAGATTTTATTGATTAAGATTGGCACGTTATCTTATTTTTATTTTTCATGTTAACAAGGGCTGAACAATATTCCTAAAACAAAATGTTCAGTAACATGTATGTTGTTGTTGGTTTTTTTTAAATCTACAGCTTTTACTATTTTCCACATTTTTTTTGTAAACTATGAAAAAAAAACGTATGCAAAGTTTTTGCAAACAAGCGGACTGTTGTTTAACCATTTAATGACCTGAGCTGAATGAACCACGTTACAGGCTCTGAGAAAAAAACAAATAAAGTAGGACGAAGAAATCTAAATATTTGATTTCCTTTTATTAAAGGGTTTCTTTAGATTCTGATCTACAAAGTCTTACTATTTTTTCAAGTATATTTAAAAAAAAAAAAAAAAACCTGTGGCCCGCGAGAGATTCTAACACGACAATTTTGGCCCGCAAGAAAAAAAGTTTGGACACCCTTGCTCTAGAGTTTTCACAATAGCTTACCCTTTTTCCAGTCTGGATTCAGCTGCCAAGCGGTTATCAAAGTGTTTGACCTAATAAGGTATAGCTTGCTAGCTCATGGAGTTGTGAGACGACTGAACAAATGTAAACATTAGGAATTCTTCCCAAGTATTCCTCACTGCACAAAGCCAAAGAACTTTCAAGGAAATATTTGGAAATCTTATCTTAACACAGTCATATCTGCGAGGCAATTTAAGAAAATAACCTCATAAAAGATATTGTAAACTAGATTGCTAGCAGTCTGAATATGGAAACTGAGATCTTAGTGCAGAGTTGAGTGTTGGTGGCTTATAAACAGGAGTTTTCGACTTCTCAGTTAGCTTAGAGTCTGAGCAGAATGTAGTGGATAGCTGCTCCATTTTTTCCAGCAATCCAAATATATAGTCTGGAAAGTCTTTCCAAAGTATTAAGTTGGGCCATCTATTAAGCACACGCCTACTTATAGAGTAAGTCGGCGTCTCTCTCAGTACCTGTAGTGATGCTGGAATTTCACATTGGCATTTTAGAATCCACACATCCACCTTCAAGTCACAAGTTAGACAGATTCATCTTTGCACTTCATTGCCATGTCAGATCTGTCAAGTTGTGTTGGCGGTTCCAGGTTTCTCAGATAATCGCTCTTCAGGAAAATACTCAGAATGATTTTTGTCCTTTCAATATTAGCCTACCAGGAGATAGTATTTTGCCTTAAAGGAAAAATAATAATCTGCAGGTATCAGTTGGTTCTGCAATGGGATCCTGTCAAAGAGCATTGCTCCTGCTTAAGTCACTATAAACTCCATACAGTCTCGGATCAGGCAAGGGCAAAGGTTCAACCATAAATCTTCTGACTTTTAGCATAAATTTAGCAGGGTATTTTGGAAGTGGACACCACAACCTTTATGAGGCAAGAGTGGTCTCATAATACAACAACAAGAAGGTTCCAACATTGGACACAGATTAAAGGTATATAAAGCATGGAAAAACACTTTTTAATGGGCCATATCCCTGAGTCTCTATCCTGAGGGCAGTGGAAGTACATCAGTGGGGGTTCTGCCATCTGATTGGGTGCAGATGTGGTCTCACATCCCAGAGAGTAACCAGGTGGATTTTTTGAACCCACTGCTGAGTGCCTAACCTTATTCAACTCAAGTCACACAAACACCAAACTAAAAACATCAAAGCACCTTTACATCATTGAGTCCCAAAGGCAAAGGAAGCTTTAAACAAGCCAGCTCACCCAATTAGGCTACATCAACAATGTGGCACTGCGACTCTACAGGGGGGGTTGATGTTTCTATCTAACAGGTTAAGCTATTCCAGGAAAACTTTTCAAGTCAGTGTTGAATCAATAAAGGTAAGGGGTTGTGGCCTAAAGGAAGCCACAGAACAATCAGGAGCAAGAATTAATCTAGAGATCTGGATTATGACATGGATTCACTTACTCGGTTGTATGTGTTATACATGCTGTTTAGTTCTAGCATGCACAACATAGCTTTAGTAAAATTTTAATTTGAACAATGTTTGCACATCTCCACTACATGATGGTCCTATTTCATACTCTGCCCATTGCTGTAGAGAAGAGATAAGGTCCTGGTCTTTATGCCATTGACCATGTTCTTTCAAAATATCATTGTTTCCATTTTAAGAAGAAAAGGCCAAATAATTTAGAGGGCTGTTGTGAAAGAGAGACATTTGTGCACAAATAACATTCCTTTACACAGACACATTCACCATCAGCATTTCCTCTGAGCTTGTGGAAATAGGAAAAAAGTCTAATTTACCACTATGTCGTAAAGCCAATGTGTAATTTAGAGGCAATCTGGAGGAGCGGTTACACAGCTGAGGAAACACTAAACACATAAATAAAAAATGAGACAGGAGCAGAAGTCGTATCATTGGACAGCTCTGTATATGCCTTCTTTAGTTTAAGTATATATACATGTTCACTAGACAGATATTCTTCATATATGTATTTTCCCTTATACACATATGTAACATTTGACAATACATATCAGTG